ATTATGTTTTCTGAAAGTTTGAGAACCGCTGCTCTTCTAGGTATAATTCCTTAAAATTTCACTGTGTTGAGGAACCATTTGTATATTAAAGTAATTACTAGAAAATATTAAACAAGTTGACTACAAAAAGCGATATTTTCATGTTGTAACAGTTTTAATACGTTTAAAAGCCACTGCTATAAAAGCTTTTGTGATAAATATTATTAAGAGTTCTAGCGATTTTAATTTATTTCATGTTCAAGTTATAAAGAGGTGCAGTGTAATGGAAATTAGAAAAAAATCAATTCTAACAATGAACTTCCAAGAGGCTTGAGCTTTTGCCTGTTACCTATATAGTAGAACCTCGACAATTCAAACATTCCATTTGTCGATTGTTTTATTATATATATGAAGTATAGGTGCACCATATTAAGTTATAGATGCATTTTGTTGCACGTCCATTAGTTTAAATGAAATTATGGGTATTTTTGAAATTATTAACAAATGTTTAATCACAAATGGTCAATTAATCATCACAGTAACTTTCCGATGTCCTTGTAAAACCTATCGCGTAACGTTGTCCGTGCTGTCTTATAAACAACTAAAGGATCATCGTGTTCGTAGAGTGTAAAAAGCTGCTGGCGTCACCGATAAACGTTAATACTTCGGAGAATATTTTAATTAACGATTTCCGGAGCTTATGAATTTCAATAATAATAATAATAATAAAATAACGACAAAAATAATAACGGATTATCTATATAAAATACTCATCATGTTATTAATTGATTTGTTATTTGCCGATAGTACATCAGCTAAATTAATAAAGAAATGGCAATTTTAAAAAATGTTTTCACAATAATAAAAAAAATCTGTTAGATATACATTTACAATCTAGAAAATTCGCTTTTTGAATTTTTTACGTAAACTTCGAGAAATCTTGCTCTTTTCATAATTTTAATTTCAATAGATTTATAAGTATTTCACCCATTTTCACCCGGCTTTTGCGCACTCAGCAGAAATATAGGGTGGAGCTTGATTATTGTTGGATTTTTGATATTTATACAGTTATTTACGATTTATGACCTTTTTAATTTAATTTGAAGGACTCATTTGATATCCTTTGTCTTTTTTATTATGTCAATTATTTAATAACAGTATTCAGGGCGACCCAAAGCTCCGGGTTTTTTCATTAAATAGCAACAGTACGACTTGTACGTATATTAGACCAACTTGGAAATCTTCATTAAATTTTTTTTTTGTTTCATTAAGCATTAGTGTGTAGGAGAGGGTAAAGATGAAAGTAGGGTTACAGTTAATATAAACATTGGAGACGAAAAACTAAAAGGATTCTCGGATTTTGGATATCCATGATAACAGGAAGTAAGGGTCTTCTATTAATTTTTGCAATAAACTAAGATGTCCCTTCCCTAAGGACACCGTTAGACTAATTTTTCATTTTGAAATTTTGTACACCCATTGTCAGGGATAAAAAAAAAGCACATAGCTTACCTTTTATCCAGAAAAAATACTGTTCTCGAGGGATAGAAGAAAATTAGTTTTATGTGATCGATTTCACACTTTAACTACTCAATCGATTAACATGAAATTTTGTAGGCACATTGTTAGAGGTACATGAAAAGGCATAGGATACCTTTCATCTAGAAAGTAATTCCGTTTCCATGGGATACAAAAATTAGTTTTATGTGATCGATTTTACGCCTTAATTATTATGATATTTTGTAAGCACATTGTCAAGGATACAGAAAAGGATATAGGGTACCTTTTATCTAGAAAAAATGCTGTTCTCGAGGAATAGATAAATTAGTTTTATGTGGCTTGTGGTCGTCGATGATTTTTGACATTTATTTAACTTCAACGGGAGCGAAGCCGCTGGTAAAATATAGTAAATAGACAAATGAAAGTGTTTCTTTGCACGATTTTATTTTTGACCAATAAAAAGAGCACCAGCTCTGTAACAAAGGTAAACTTAAGCCTATTCAAATGTAAATACGTATATTTACCTCCTATACATATCATGCCTTAATTTATTTATGGTCCGTATATTATTTTTGTAACTTATGCTTACTTCATTAAGTACTCATGATGCTTTTTACAGAAAATTTAATACTTATTGTTATTAATAATAGGTACATATTTACAACAAATAAACATACATATTGCAAGTCGCAATTCTAACATACTGACTAAACTTTTAGTAAAAGATGTGGTATTTATATCGTATATATTTGTAATGATGCAAATTAATTATTATGAATATTATGGTATGTGCTCCAGTTTCGTTATTTATTAAAGGACTCATTAATTAACTAAGAAAATCTTGGTTTAAAAATAATTATTATTAATACTAGGAAGTAAAAAATTTTCATAATTTTGTATAGCCGACTTCTAAAAATGTACTTAAATTTGTACATAATAAATACCCTGTATCTTACCATGGTGCATTTGTTGCATATGAGAGAATTTTAAGATCTGACATAAAAGAATTACTTTCAGATTTTGATAGGTTGTGGAAAAATGAACATTTTATTTTTCTTTATATACAGGGTGTTATCGCCGATAATCACGATAGTAAACTAAACTTATTGACTTTGAAGAACTTAGGTGAAACATTAACTTTTATGCGTTTTTTGTATTAAAACAAAATAATATACTAATTAACGTAGTTGTAATTAATATTCTGATGTAAATATAGCTGCGTAAACACCCTGTATGAAATAGAAAACACCCGTAATAATGAAAACATCAAGATTTTCTTAGTCAGTACTTTTGAAGGAAGAAAATTTGCATTTTTATAATCCCATTAATTTATTTTCATTACACCACCGGTTATTTATTATTTAATTGGTCATTCTTTTACAAATAACAATCTTTACAGTTACAATGTACATGTATTATGACAATATCAACAAAATAGCAGTTACAATTTACAATTTCATCTTTGACGAAGGGCTGTTCAAGGAATTCGTGAAGGATATTTTAAATATAAATAGCTTTTATATGTATCTACTACTTTTCTTCTTAACTATGACTGATATGAAATTTAAGCTCAAAAAGTCGTAAATCCAGGGTTAATCTATTATATTATACATGTTTTAAACAAACTCAGAAATAAATACAAAAGGATACCTAAGCATGATTCCGAGATAAAAGTGAAACTTTTTTAATGGTGATGTATCAAATTGAAATATTTACACGGGTTATACAAAATGAAACGTATCACTGTTCAGAATTTTCCTGCGAATGAACAGAACCTTTTGTAGTTGCAATTTTTTTTAGAGTAAGGAAGAAGATAGCATAAAAAATTAGATGAATAAAGGAAGAAGCGAGGAGGAAAATGAAACAAGAGCGTGCAGTCCAGAAGAAGAAAAGAAAGAATTGAAAAGAAAAAATTTAGAGAAAGTTAATAGTGAAATGGAGTTGTTGGAAGAGATAAAGGAAAACAATTAAGAAAATTGGAAAGAAAATAATGAAACACAAAAAGAAGAGATTTACAAGAAATAAGATGGGAGAATTTGCAATAAAAGTTGGAAGAAGATAAAAGTATAAACGAAAAGTTGAAAGAAATGGAGAAGGAAACCAAGGGAAAATTATAGGAGATGGAAGAAGGATTGGGCAAATATAATGAAGAAAGTAGTTTAAAAGAAGAAGTGAAGGAAATGGTACTGAGGAGATAGAGATTGAAAAAGGCGTAGAGAAGCAAGTGAAGGAACAGAAGAAAATAATACGCAGAAAGGAAATGGAAAAGAATGGAAGAAAGAAAGCTAAACATGATAATCTTTGGAGTTAAGTTGGAAGAGAACAAAGAAAAGAGGGAATTATAAATAGTGATGAAGGGGAAGATGGGATTGAAGATGGAAGTGAAAGAAGTATGGAAAGTTAAAAGGGAACGGAGGCAGAAATGGAGAAATTTGAAGACAAGACGGTAAAAGGACGAAGGAGACGGAGGTGTATGTAAGAGATGATTTGACGATGGAAGAGAGAATAATACAAAAGATGTTGGAAATAATGGTAAAAGAGGAGAGACAAAAAAATGGGGATAAGCTAGTAAAGGTTGAGTACGAGAAAATAGATAAAACGGGTTTGAGGATGTTATCAGGTTGTGTTTTATGTTATATCTACTTTAGGACATGAACGAGATTTTTGAATGTTGATGTTTTATATTCTGTAGTAAGTAGCCTATATTATTGTAGTTGTGATGTAAGGTTTTTGTATGTATAACTTAAAATTATAATAAAGATTTAAGATCTTTAACCTTTTCTTTTACTTGAAAAAAAAAATTTCACTTTTATAAAAAATAATATCGGTTACAATGAAAATAGCTAATGTTCTTTATATACATTGTACGTTAATTCATTTTGTACGTTGTGTTTACAGATTAAAGTTAAAGCGAGTTTTT